TCACAGTGGAGTCAGCTGTCTTAACCGTGGCTTGTGTACTGCAAACACATACCAGCTTCATCACTGTGTCTGTCACGCGACTCTGTTCCCCTTTCGGGATCTGTCTTTACATTTATTTTGAAAGATGAAGCTGGCGATTATGGTAAGGGTCGTTACATTTCCGACGAGTGCTTGCGGTGTTCGGCCAATCACAATGCACTGGGTCAGCTGGCCAATCAGAGCAGACTGCGCTTGTCGGAAGGAGGGACTTTGTAGAAAACGAAGCGTTTGAAAGAGAGGCATAGAGGACCTACAATAATGTACAGTATTTGAAAAATAATGTTTTTTGAACATTAAAGCATGTCAACATATTCTGTTACACCAAATACACAAAATAATGATCTTTAAAAAAGCATCATATGACCCCTTTATTAATACATTTATTTTTAATACAACACATCAGAGAAATTATAGCTTTTTGAAAAATCTCTCTTCTCTAATGTCAAAGTTCTAGAAACAGAAATCACCACCAGCACCAGAAATCTGTATCTGTTTGTGGATATAAAAGAAGTAAGGATCAAGCTGGATCTGTGACTTTTGATCACAGAAGAGCCCAGAACTCCAGCATCTGCCTCATTCTTCCCAGAACCCCCTCTTGTGGTTGATGACTTAAAATGCTTTAGCGTTTCCTTCTGATAAACAGGAAGGTCTAGCAGAGCATGGCAGGTGAGGGCCTGTGGTAGATGGTCCTGAGTAAAGATGAACAGGGGTCTCACTCTCTTTATGGAAAGTTGTGGAGTCACAGCATCTCTCAGTTATGACGTTTCCCTGAAAATGCGTATAAATAGCACGCCAAATACAAACAGAAAATTGTGCTATTGATACGCAGAAATTGCCTTTGGCGTGCATATGATACGCACGTGTTTTACGTGCATTTAATACGCAGTTTTCACGTACATATGATCCGCATCTACCCCACACCCCTAATCGCGTATCATATGCACACCAAAGTCCATTTCTGCGAATAAATAGTAGCTACGCCAAATCGAAACATTAACTCGTGCTACTGATACGCACTTTTCACGAGATCGGGTTACAGCTCCGGCACGAGAACGGTGCATGATAACAAAGACCGGTTGATTACACTTGAATTACTTTTAAATGTATAACTGTTACTAATCAAATGTTTGTTAAACATTAGACAGAGAGAGATAGCAAGTGCAACAATTTTCCTCCGTGAAAACACCTGTTTGTCTCCTGTCATTGAATAATTATGCTATAAGTTTGATGAGAGTGAATAATGCGTCAGTCTGTCAACTATGATTAATACTTCCATCTGTATGTGAGTATCTATACAGCTATGCAGAAACACTGGGAATCAAGCCCAGACCCATGGAGTATGCATTCCTACATTAAACCAACATAGGCTACCTATAATGCTAAATCTACTTTTAAAATGTTTTAATTTTAAACATGCATTTCATCTACTGGACCTCATTAATAGTGAGTAATGGTTAATTAATGAGACAGTCTGTCTTTTATGTTTACTTAAGGTATTTGTGCATTATAAACTTTTTTCAATTATTGCTTATTGTCCTACAAGTATACTGTCTTTTTTTTCTGGATGCAATACAAATTCAGCAGTGCCATTTTGATGTCATAAAATGCACTTAATTCCAACACTACTTTGGTATATATAACTTATGATTAAAAGACCTAGGAACTTATTTGCAGGCTGCGTTTGGCAGAAAAACAGCATGCAGCTTGTATTAAGACCAGAAGAAACAATCCACCTCTTTAACTTCCCCTGGAACCATATGTGTACCTTGATTCATCAGTGATGACTGTTCAGCGTCTATCTGATGTCAGGAATGATAACACAAGTGTGGTCTTGTTTGGAATGATAAGGTCTTCACTCTAAAGGGAATTATTTGAAAAGCCTTTTTTATTTTTATATATATTTGTATTACTATATGAGTAGTTTACAAATAAATATGCCTAGAAGCTAACCATTTTTTACAATATATTTCTGGCAGGTAAAAGAAAGAAAAAAATATTCTTAAACCTTTAGAAAAGACTCTTTGGAATGCTAACATGCAAACCTTCAAAAGCATTTGATGTTAACCAAAACAGGTGTGACTATACTTAACACTGACCGTTCATCTCAGATCCAAGCATCATGCTCAGAAAGAAAAGGAAGAAGAGTGGTTCAGTATGAGAATAGAAGTCCATCGTCAGAGTTACACTTACATCTATAAAGTATGGCTATTTTGAGTTGTGGTTTCCCATGTGAAACCACTTGATGATGTTTGCAGTGGTTTCCAGACCAAAGTGTCACAATGATGACACCAGATATTGGCATCAGAATCCACGCTGCATGCTTATTTTATGATTCCAATAAACATCAGCTGCTCTGGCAATCTCTGTGTTCTGTGCTACTGAAAAACACTCCCAGAAGCGAAATAGAGACTTGCAGCCATTGAAAGCATTGTTGACTGTTACAGTATATATTGCTTTTTATTTTACACTTTCTCACACACTTTTAAAAATAAAGGTTACAAATAGGAGTCATAGAAGAACCATTTTTTGGTTCCTTAAAGAACCTTTCAATGAACGGTTCTTAAAAGAACCATTTTTTCTTAGTGTGAAGAACATTTTAATAATCTGAAGAACCTTTTTCACTATAAAAACCTTTTGTGTAACTGATGTTGAGGTTCTTCATTGAACCATAGATGCCAATAAAGAACCTTTATTTTTAAGAGTGTATTCACCTATTTGCTGCTTTTCTTATATAATTTATTTTTGGTTGGCTCATAAACATTTTATCGCCAACAGGGACTACTGCTCTTTATTGTATACCTGTAAATATTTTTTTTTCTATTTTAAGTGTTAAAAAAGTTTCAAGTTCAAGTATAAAGAAAAGTTCAAGTATTAAGTTCCATATAGAAATGGCATAACACGGCCCCTAACATGTTAAAGCCGAATGTGTGATGAGTCTGATGACTCTTTCATGTTTTATGTTCATCTCTGATTTCATCTCTTTTCAGGGAAATTGTGTAGACCTCTGGTCAGGGATGGTACTTTGCCTTAACTTGAATGTTTCTGTGAAAATTTCAACCCTGTGGCTAAGGGGAATTTCGGTTTTAAATGATACTTGTCATTCCTTTACAGTAAATCAAGTACTGTACAACAAGTTGGTAAAAAAAAAAAGAAGAAATGCGAGTCAAGTAGCCATTAAGCATTAAGAAAAAACACAGCAAAAGCAAAATAAAAAAGACCTTTCTTTTGCATTTTAATGAAGCACTGATGCTTTCACAGTGTAGAAGTTTGAAGAATTTTTGATTGAAGCTTCCAATATAGCTTGCCTATTTAGACCTCTGGGCATTGAGGAAAAATGACATTTTTACCTGTCTAAGACATGTTCAAACACAGTGTTATCCAGCACTAGCATGCATGAAAAACAGCCATAAATGCAAAACCGTTTCATGAATTTGAATACATTCTTAAAATATATTATAATAATTCAAATGTATTAGTATAATTCACTATACTGTTGATAATAAGTATTTCTGTTCATAGGAGAAATGCAGGGTCAATAGCTATATGATATCTAAAGCTCATGTCTTACCGTTAATATTGACTGATATAAGTTTTATATACTGCAGCCAGAGGAAAACGCTTTGAGCAAGCTCACTATTTCCTTTTTATTCTTTGGTAAAAAATAAACCTTTTTCTAGAAGCACAGAAATAATGAAATTTG